AGTGAATTTTTCAAGAAATTGAAATTACCATAGTATTTTATACACTTCATTTGACATGCATGCAAATTTTCGCGGCGATCGACCCCACCCCCCCCCCCCCCCCCTGGTAAAAACCCGGTCTGAAATAGCCCGGTTAGAATAGGGTTAAATAATCAAGTTGTTAAATCGAACGTCATAATTTATTTACCAAGTTACCTGTGCTTTACAAGTATACACCAACAGCCCTTTTTTATCATTCGTCGTTATGTTTACCGTTTACGGTTTCACCATGAAGATAAATATATAGTCTAGGGTTTGAAATATAGAGTAAAGCGAGAGATAAAGAGGATGGGAAAAGTATTATTTCGTATTTCATGTTACGTGTTTCGAGGACAACTTGTCCTGTGACATGTGACCATGAGTTAATTCACAGTATATTATTGGTTATACCACACGATACCAACAGCCCATATGATTTTGTGGGCCATCTGAAAAGTTATCAGAGGATTCACTGAAAAGACATCGTCAGCTCTGTTGCTTGGATGTAGATAGCCTTTAAACAAGGCCACATGTCTGATAGACGCCGAGCGACTAAAAAGAGACTAATCGCGAAAACCTCAGTGAACGCCAGTGCGAATTGCCCAGACAAGTAGCCTTTATCAATCTGGTTTTGGATTTCTTATGTTAACCTTTATTTCCGACTGGAATTCGCTTCAGAAAAGGGAGCGTCCAATCAGCGAACGTATCCTCGCACGACGTCAGCACATAGTATCCATCACACACACACACACACACACACAGAGTAAACTCTACGTAGTGCGAACATGGACCTACATGCCTACTATGAACTATTACGTACGTGCTAAGACCACTGACCTCTACATGGAACGAATCACGAACGAAGCCAACTGGGAGATCGCCGTTCTGATCGGTCAATATATCCAAAGTAGGCGTATTGGCATGCTAATATGTATCTATGAATAATTCATGCGGAGCAGTGAAACCTACATTGCAAAAGGCCTCGTGACATTCGTCACTCGGTCGCGCGTTCACCCGGGGTATCTAGACTCATCTCAGCCGCTTAGCCAGAGTCACGAGGCCTTGTCAAAAGGCTAGGATGTAGACGATACCATTGCCACGATTGCATTAAAGGGATCCGGTATCTTTGTCTCAGATTCTGAAACAAAATCCTGGATTTAGCTCATGCTGCAATGATAATTATAACCCTTTGGGTCAGTCAGGAACCCCATGACTTTTACAAGCCGATCGCCTGTCTGATTATCAAAATAATTATGATTGGAAATCGAAACCAAATTCTGCGTTTGCCAAACGGTTATCATAACACTACAGTCTATCGGGGAAAACGAGTATGGTAAAAAAACCGGTCACTCAAAGATTTTTACTTTTTTGAGGCACTTTTTGATCATTTTGGTGCGCGATTTTTTTGTTAGGGCTTCAATATTACACAATATCACAGACACTTATTACACGTAGGGCCTTGCATCTCAGATTTAACATTGTTAAGCGATGCCTTTAATATATGAGGGCGCTGTTCCTATCGATAGTGCGTATCTAATTGATTTTTCACGACCCTCATTACATTTCTACGAGATGGGAGCAAAGGTTATTGCCGACCGGAGACAATATACTGGATACTTGCTCATGAAAATTATGTACTCATTATTTGTGTATGCACAAGCAGTGTGCTCCATGTTACACAGGTGGAAGTAATCTTTGAGAAGGGGAAACAAAGGCTATGTATGTAGTACCTCCATCGCTGTAGCAGTGATTATTTCAAAATGTACAAAGTGGGACATCTTCATGTTTTGAAGACCTGTGGATATTTGGGGTCATTTGGGCCATGTGCTAACCGTTCAAGTTCAGTTTTAAGTTCAGTTTATTTCACATCCAATAAAAAAACTTACAGCCTTATAACATTCAAAATACAGTTATACAAAATGCAATATATATAAAATATAATAAGAACAAATAAAACAACAACAGTAACACTAAAAATGATTAACGGGAGGAGTAGGGATGTGAGGGACCAGAAAAGGCCATTGACCTATCTAGACTGGTACCCTATTTCTACAACCCCAAAAGTAAAATTTTCAGTAAATAAAAGCAAAATATTGACAATATAGACATTACATTAACTAAGACATATATACACACATACAAGGACAGGCAGAATTAATAAATGCTAACAAAAGTATATTGTAACTTGATATTTGTTTGTGTTTAAAATTACGCTTAAAACTAGACAATGTTGGGCATGTTTTGAGAGAATCTGGTAAGTTATTCCAAATAATGTATCCTTTATATTTTATTACTGTTCTTGACAAATTATAGCGAAATGAAGAAACATAAAGTTTGTGTGAATTTCTAGTAATATATTGGGTTGTTACATCCTACCAGAGACTTTGTGTCAGTTCAATGATCATACACGATTATGATTAGGCAAACCATAAGAGTGTTAAATGCAATAATCATGATAATTATTTATTTTTTCTCCACTCCGGCTTCTTTTTAGGATTCTTCTACCCCCCCCCCTTTTTTCATGCATTTATGTGGTATTTATGTTTTGACACAAGAGAATCTGAGGGAATCTAGGTCATCGGGGGGGGGTCATTAAAAGAGACCAAATGGCACTCGTCGTGACACTTAGTAGCATACTGAATGGGTGAGAGCAATGTCCTTTCATAAGAGGATGCTAACTTGACTTCATGTTGTATTAGTATTGGTGAGAAAAATTGCACGTATCAAAACCTTATCTTCAAAAGTACAACACAAAACAAAACAGCCATAACAGCTTTAAAAAAACGAACGAGAAACTGTAGATTTCTATGCTTGGCCTTACACTGTGCCCTGTATAGATGAAACAATTTACCTTGTATAGTAATATTCCAAAATGTATCTTCCTGTGTAAAAGGCTCGTTCCAGTAGACCGAAGACACCCACTGAATAAGCATTTGGAACTTCCTCTTTGCACACTCTGCAGTATCCAAATTCAAAATGATTGCCAGCACTGTTCCGCGTTATTCTTTTCATGCTTCCGTCACACTAACTACAAATGACACGATATGACGCCAGTTTATTGCAAGGGTTATACACCCAAAATATAATATTTCTCCTGGTAAAGCCAAGCACTTGTGCTTGTCCTTTAGTAGAGAACATGCATGGCAGTTGTCGTATAATCGGTCGGTCCGAAATCACAATGCCGATGTGATTTCCTGTTATATTGCTGATTGGACTTTGGTCTAGGTTTGTTATTTTTTCCGCGTTACAAAACAACACATAGTAAATTACAAATGCGGCCATGCAGAGACGTAATGAAATCCACTACGGATGAAGGCTATTGGGATCACAGCATTGTGGGTATTTATATCAATGTAAGGATCGATACATACAACATCTGTGGCTACTCTCTAGAAATATAAATAAATACAATGGTAATGAAATGTGAGAATAAAGGTTGGGTAGCTTGAATCACAATTCCCCATTGCTGTCCTCCCTTTTTGTAAATTTTTTGCAAAGATTGAAGAATAATGTCTCCGGAATCGAACCCTGGTCACTGGCTTTTAACGCCAATGTGTTAACCACTAGACCACGGAGACGGCCCAGTGGCTTCGGCGATACCAGATTTAATTGAACGACAGATTGACAAATTAAAGCATTGATTCCCGTCGGAGACAATTATTTCAACCTTTCCAAAAGATTTCCAAAAAGGGAGGACAGCAATAATGACATTTTATTTAATTTACCACGCAGTCATTGTTTCCTAATTTCTTTTTATCCTTATAATTTATATGCATAACTATTTAGCGTAGTCTATAACATCAACGAAAAAACGACGTGGTCATAATGACCACCGCATATCTGAACGAGACCTGAAGAAAGAAACAAAGTTGACTAATTTCTTGCTGTATCTTGCCGGCCAGAGATATGGGGCGTATACTGAAACAAACTGCAATGCGCACAGTGTCCACCATCTTCCTAGGATATTCCTTAAAAGTAAATCGGATAACTAAAACGGAAGTTATGAATTTTAAAAAAAATTATGAAAAGCTATGGAACTTAGAAAATCACTACACAAATTGCCAATTTGTTTATCAGTTTGTGACGTCATGGCCTCACTATTTATCAATTACTTTATATATATATATATATATATATATATATATATATATGTTTATGCCATTAATTTCCCTTTTTATCCACAACAAGTTGATTTCTCCCTTCCTTTTCCCAGGTTATATGACTCGTATCGTATTGTGTGCATGACATTTCACAAAATCTGTTATGAACTTCTTCTTTTTTTACTATTTTCTAAATATTGTTTATTCATGATCATTTTTTTTTTGTTTATAAACAGTTTATCATAATTCATATTTTTCCTGATTTAACTGAAAATATAATTACTTTATGTTAGTGCATCCACAATAACTTGGATGCTGGAGTAAGAAAATAAGACTTTTAGGGGGAATTTAGACATTTATATTATCAATATAAAGAAAATAATTGGTGGATAGTGAGGCAATGACGTCACAGACTCATGAGTATGTTGCAAATTTGTCTTCTGATTTTCAAATGTGTTCATGTCATTAAAATTCATAACTTTCTTATTCGTTATCCGATTTTGCTCAAACTGTTTTTGATTGGTTTTTCAGACTTTTCTGTTTCTATCGAAACTAAATAATTTTTGGTGTGGACTTCCCCTTTAACTTTATCGAACTGCCACATCCACCGCTCCCCCCCCCCCTCCCCCCATCTGCGACTGGTTTCACAGAATCATGCAGAACGAACCCGTCGTCGATTTCAATTAATCTTGATAGGCACGATGTAAACAATATGCATGTACTTTCTATAACCAAACAGAGATTTAACCCCACCACCCACAAATACAGTTTGACCCCCCCCCCCCCCTCATTTTAAGCTTCTGGGCAAATTTCTCATCTTTTTTTTATCTTTATCTGTGCAGGTTGATAGAGAGCAGGCGAGACCTATTTTATACGATAGCAATGGAGGAACTCCCCATCATAATCTTTATCATTGGGATACTTGTGCATCTGTCTGCAGGTACGTACCCAGTGTCACACTCACTTATTTACTGTATTGATATCTATATTATCAAATATTGCATGTTCCTGCCTTCAATTAAAAACATGATTATATGAACCAAAAAATTAAGATTTTCTCGAGTGATGTTATGTTTCGTCCTGACCGGAGGTCGATGTTAAATTATAATTATTGTAATGGGGGAATTCTGATATTTGAATCTTGATTAACAAAACCTGACCATGTACAGTGAAAAGAAGTACGTGATTTACTGTGCAAAAAACATTGTAGATGTCGAATATCAAGGCATGCCAACCAAGAAATTAATTTCTATTTAAAGCTGAAGCTCTCACTTTTGCCTTTGGAGTTAAGGAAAAATATCCATCAAATAGCACTGACCATCAAATATATTAAATTTGTCAGTTATAATAATCCTACCGAATGTCCTTAAAACTTATAAAATATTGTATTGAAGTAAACTTCTCGAAATTACTGTTTGAAATTAACTATCTGGATAACGAATCTGTCCGAGCACATGGCGTGTGAGTATACTACTTGAATTTTTTATTTGTATTGTTACTTTTAAAAGGGGAGGCCGGAATTGCTGTCTTAGCAGGGCAGAACACAACGCTTCCCTGCATTTTCGAAGGCATGCCATGGCATGTCAATTGGTTGAAAGGTGAGATAAACATTTTTTAGACAAATATGTAGGATTCTTAAATAAGAAGCGGTAAAACGCGGCGTTTTGTTCATCTTTCTTTTCTTTATGTTCAACGTGTATGAATGAATGTCATTTGGGCGCAACAAAGGGCCTATACAGTACGTACCAGAAAAACGAAACCGAGAATTATTGTAGTTTTTATCATAACTTAATGACAATTATAATTATTAAGCGACACTTATTTGTAAAGCTTAGATCCTCCACTTCATGCATGAGTGATTAAAGACAAATTGAAGAAAGGGTAACAAACAGTCATTTGGCGGAGGGTATCTGAATTTCAAAGAGAAAATCACATTTCCAGAAAGTTCATTTTTGCCCTTTCATATGACACCTCAATCAGGAAAAATGAGCCAGGAATAACAAAGTTTTGTTTGTTTAAAATAATGCTTGCATATCCATAATTACATCAAACGAATTCGTTTTCACTGGCTGTTGCCGTAGCAACAAACTCTATTTCGTTGACGATCAACCATGCGTGAATCTTTCGTCTTCTTTTTGTAGGCAGCCATTGGAAGGGTTTCGTTTTTTCTGGGACGCACCGTATACGCGGTTGTAAAGTAAGAAATGTGAGGCTTATTATTACACGTACCTCATTAAAAACGCCGCTTTTTACCGTGTAATCTGAACCACGATCACTTGGGTATAGGATAGTCAATTGAAGTAGAATTTTGCACTTGCCATTTTGTTTTACATTGGGTCAGAAGGCATTTCTGCTCTTTTTCTGTTCAAACTTTACTCTGGTTTAGCCATTTTAAAAATGATCGTAAAATCTACTTAAATCTAGGTAAGTGGGCCTATTTTATTTGAATTCGGTTACACTTAGATTACAATGGACAACCGGCGCTCATGAACTTCTCACCAAAAATATTTTATTATGTATGTTTCGGAAACTGAGCATGTAAAGACAGTATACATGCAGGGGCGGCGATTTATTTTCATGACCGGGGGGACGAAATGCGAGGGACGAGGGAGCAAAGTGAACGAGAGGGGCCAAGCCCGGGGGATACTAAGAATGGGTTTGGACGGGAGGTAAAGCCCATTTTTCACAATTTTCAGGAAAATTTTGGAAATTTTGAAGAACCGGATCCATGTTTAGGGATATTTTTGTTAAAAATGGGACCCATTTTTAGGGATTTTTGTTTGAAAAGGTAGCCATTAAAGCGGCACAATCCGTATGTCTTAATATATGAATACCCATCCCCCCCCCCCCCCCCGACTGGGGGGGGGGGGGGCGAATGTGATGTAATGGTCCTCCCCTCACATATTTTTGAAGTTTTGTTGTATTAAAAAAATAGCATTCCTTATTATAGCAAAACTACAGCATAAAAATAAGCAATATTTACTTGTACATTTTGAAGAATATTATGCGAGGGAGCATTTCTATTAGTCTAAATGCTGCACTCTTGGGCCCTCCAGAGTCCAAAAGTATGTTGCGGTCTTTAGTTAGTATTTGCTTTACTTTTTGTTTTTGCACTTCTTCAAATTTTCCTGGGGGGGGGGGGTGTACATGTATTTCGTTTAATAGGTTCACGAGTAAATACCCATGCGGGCAACAGCCCTGGCCCTTTCTATGTGATTCATTTATGGTGTGTATCAATAGAGATAGATCTCCTATATAGACTCCTACCCAATTTCGGGAGTATAGTCGCAGGACTGTACAGACGTTCGTTAAAGCAAGTTCACTTCATACATATAGCTGTCCTAAACCAAGTCAATACATACCATGAGAATTGTGTTTGTCTTTATTGTGAAGTATTCGCTTTGCCTCTAGAGGATGGTCCTTCTTGGAATGGCATTGCCAGTTATGGAGACAACACAAATTATGGAACCATCGATGATGGGAAGTACAGTGTACAGGAGCACTTCTCAAGTGGGAAATCCTCATTTTCGCTGAGCATCGCTGAGGTGGAAATCGCCGATGATGGACGGTATAGGTGCGCCGTGACTGACAATTATGGAACGAGTTCTTCAAGCCTCTACCACCTCGAGGTATTGGGTAAGTTTTGTCATTGAAAAGAAGTATTAATTATTCCCTTTATCATGTAGTTTGTTTTATTTCTGTTACATGAACACTTCATAATTATTGAAGTGTTAACAATAACATTATTATCGTTGTTTAGATGCACTAAACACCTCCGTTACCACCCCAGCACTCCATGGAAGCACACCCACCACACCGACATCGACACAGACAGTCACCACAACAACCACGGACAGCCGGGATCAAACGGTGGACGACACCGGTTCTGGTATCAGCCTTGCTGCCAAGTTTGGAATTGCGTTTGGAGGTAAGAATAACGGCCATTACGAGTTGATTGAAGTTGTCTGTTTTGCTTTGTTTTAATCACGTTTTCAACCCAAGATTTTGTTATTTTAAGCAAAAGTAATGAAGTTCTCCTAGTATCGCATTTTCTTCGAATATTTACAGTTTTCTATTAACATAGTATGTTATACAAGAATAGGAGTGCAAGCAGGCAAAGGGTAATCGTACAAGGGAGAATGCGTTGGGATTTTACGACACCATGTTCCAGAGACAGTTGCTCTTAGAACCGAATTCATCAGTTCAAAGCAGGATTAAACACTTTCCCTAATTGTAACCCCGAACCTTTGTCCTAAAAATCAACTGAAAATACGAGTGCAGCCCTTTACCCTATTCTGGTAATGCATCCTGCAACAATAGTCGCCTAAACAAAATATCACAGTACTTCCCTGTCCTTATACTGTATTCAAAATAGGAGCTTCAATATTACTTCTGTAAAGAAAATTTGCAAGATTAAGTACACTCTCAATTGAATAAAAACAACTAGTGCGCAGACTACTCGACACATACGTAGCACTCCCATTAACCCAACTCTGACTTAGATGAAGTTCGAGCCGCTTCATGATATTCTTTTCTTTCTCAGCCTTTAGAAAGCCGTGTATTTTTTGTTTCGATGTTGATTTTATACATTCTAGCTGTACGCAAATGTTGTGTTAGATGATTGGTACACTATATAGTGGTAGGTACAACTGCCTGGTTCATCAGTACAATCCCGATTTTGAATTCAGGGGAAACAGAGGCAGATGAAGAGAGGTAAAAGGAAGTTAGACATTGATTGAGAAAAAACAATGAATCGTCATATTCTATGTAATATAAAGCTTGCGTGGTCACTTCTTGTTATTCGACGGTTTTGTATTTGGATTACAATTTGTTTAGAAAGGCAACACAGCTTTTCTCGGAATGCATAATAATTTGCATTAGAAGAATTGCAATAATTATAGTGAATGCAGGAATATATTGGACTGTGGAAAATCTTGGATAATAGAGAGGTGGTTATTAGAATATGTGTACATGTTTTGTTTTGTTTAAAAACTTAAATGTTTTCACGTTTCCTCTTTAATGCAGTGATGATTCCAGTTGGCATCGCTGTGTTTGGTAAGTTGTTGTGTACATTTCGTAAATTTGTTGAAGTCACTGACGTGATACACGGCGATGAAAACCTCTTAAATAGCGCACAGTAAATAACAATGAGTTGAGTGAATCTTTGCCCAATTACATGGAAAATCCGAATTTTCTTCGTATCCTCCAGACACAACCTTTTTTAATATCACATGAAACCAGAATGTCCGTAATAAAACACGTTTACAGAGTACATTTAAGTTTGAGAATAAGACAACATATTGTATATTGCTTGATTTAAAGGTAAAGACCAGTATTGGTAAAGCCCCAATTTCAAAAAATGAAATTGAAGCTCTCATTACCAATCATGTGAAAGAATATGTTTTGACTAATACATGATGATAAAAAATTTGCCGGGAAACCGCCTACTAATTCATATATTTGGTAAATTTGTTTCTCTCATGGTCCTGTGAGAGATATAGGGTAGTCCCATATACATCTTTCTGTGTATAGTGCTTGTAACTTTACGAAGAATGGGCCAAATTTCTTATCATTTTGATGATTCCAGAACCTTGCAGATGCTAGATGCTAGATGATCAACCTTTTCTGATCGATTCCACAACGTTTCTTTCACAATTCAATCGCATGACCATAACTGGTCTTTACCTTTAACTGTGAGGGGGAAAGGGTAATCTCAGAAAATCTAGGCTTGTTAAGCGGGATTCCCAGTATTAATTAAGTACTAGACCATCGTCAGCGTGCATCAAATCCTGCATATGTCTGCTCCCAGAGAGGCCAAAGACGCGCGGACCATCTGTTTAAACACTCCTCTTACAATTTCTCCACCAATAATTTTCATTTAACCGTCAGCTAAATTATACATTTCATATTTTCGTATTCCATTATGTTAATCTCCCTCGCTTTAAATTCAACCTGTTACAGCTTTCCTGATTTGGAAGTTCAAGCAGAGGCCGGTATCTCAACAAGTATCACTCGGTATGTATTACAGAGAACTGAAATTTATTATGTAACAGATGACTGAGCAACAGGATCATTTAACAGTGCCATCAAAAATATCCCTGTACCACATTTAAGCCGAGGCACCAAGTGTGGGTAATGCCATAAGAATGCGTTACTTTGGCCTTAAATCCTGTTAAATGTTAAATTATGCCTCATGCTTAATAGTTTCAAGTGATGCAATGTATCTAAGCTTTTACGGGACCTTGTTTCAATCCACAACAAAGCCTCCTATTTTGTTATTACAGCTTACTAACTCCTTGTCTTTTGATAGCAGCTCACTAATCCTATGTACCATTTCACATTTCACGCTCAATCACGCTATTCTGCTCTCCAAACTCAGTCATTATGGAATTCGGGGTCAGCCACTATTATGGTTTAAAGATTATTTAACATAATAAAGACAATATCGTCGGCCTTATGCCAAAAGGGCCTCAACCGCATTTGGCCATTCCGAAATAATCGCGTTTAAAGTTTTGGCCTCTCTAATTAAAGTGTGTGTCTTTTTTTTTTCTTTTTTTTTTTTTGAAGTCAATTTCGATAAATATGTTAAGTTATTAAGTTTTACATGAAATGTGTTATTTATTTTAAAATATTCAGAAGTGTTCATGCTATGTGCATAAAACAGTTAGGGTGCTTTTAGGCGTATGGCTTGAATGTAGCGTATTTATGCCAGAAGGGCCGTAACCTACCAGGCATTATGCCAAAAGGGCTCTAACCTGCCGTTATCATACGCACGTTGAGTGAGCGCCCTTCTGGTATAGCGAAATTTTCTTGTTCCGCGACACCTTTGGTTTGCCAGAAAGTCCCTGCTACGGCTACTGGATCACGAAAACTGATAAAACTGATTAATTAAAATGTTGGAAAAACTATTTTTGATATATATATATTTTGATATCTTAATATCTTTATTAATATAATGCAGCTTTCGGTGAAGTAATATTTTAGAGATTGTACATTTAGGACACCTTTATCGTTGTTTATTTTCATTACAGTCCCATACGTTGACACCAGTCGCATTTCATGCATCCACATCTAACTTAGATTTCACTCAAAATTCATGAGCTAAATGCATTATATATAGGTTTAGTGATTATTCTATGGACATTGTGTCTATTGTAGACTAATCATGTTTTGTAATGGTTTTTCTATTGACATCTATTGAAGTAAATAGAAAAAACGAAATAATCTGTCATTGATAACACTTATGCCGTGTAGGTTAAGGCCCTTAACCCTAAAAAAAAGGCCGGGCTTTTTGATGTCTTAGTACGGCCGGGGGGGGGGGGGCATTATGGCCCCACTTAAGATCTCGGCCGTGAAGCGGCCGATCTCCACGAAAATGTGCACGCATGTCAAGTGAAGTGTATAGAATACTATGATAATTTCAAAAAAAAATTATAACCATAAATATCTGCATATTTATGGTTATTTATGCAAATAAGGTCATAAAAATCAGATTTTTACCCATAAATCATATATTATTCATATTTAAGCATTCTTTTTCACTACATATATTTATTAGACCATTCTGAATAATAATACGACAAAAAAAAATGGAATAGCCAGCTTATTCCTAATGTTATCCCTTGTTTTGATAATTTCTTATGTATTTCTTTGTTTTTTTAACTGATGTATTTTATTGTTTTTGTTGTTTTATTTCATTTCTAACTACAAGTCAACTATTTTGACTCCCAAAACAACCACCCAAACTTTAAACAAGACCCAATAAGCTGATCTGTTTTTATGAAAAATGACTTTTCCATATGTTTTGTACACAAATCACGAACATGAGCGATTTTCGGGCTGACATGCAAAGACAAAAGGTCACGTGACCTTGTAACCGTAGGTCCGATTTTCAAAAAAATTATTTTAAAAGTTGCGCAAGACTCGAAAAAAAAAGTCAGCGAGCGGCGGGGCGCCATCCATATGCGTTCCCGAACAATCAGAACAATCGTGGAGGGGGGCTATGATGCCCCCACCCCCCCCCCCCCCGACCCCAAGCCTTATTCATGTTAAGGCGAAAGGGAAAAGATGAGATACGCGTTAGGGCCCTTTTGGAAATCTTAATTATTTTCATGAATAAATCGAATTTCACCAAGTGAAGAACATCATTTTAAAGAGAATGTTGAAATCTATAAGGTGATATTAATAACTCAATAACCCCCAAAATCAGGTGGAGGCCCTTTTGGCATAAGGCCGACGGAATGTTACATTCAATAGTTATGATACCGATCCTCAATTCAATGCGGTGTTCCTCAAGGCTCCATCTTAGGTCCACTAGTATTTCTTCTTTATTTAAATGATATCATCAATACATCACCCTTCTTTCTTTTATCTTATTTGCCGATGACACAAATATCTTTTATTATCATGAAGAACTTAATTTTTTAAACAATACTTTGAATTATGAATTTAACAAAGTATCAAACTGGTTTAAGGCCAATAAACCTTTTCTTAATACAAAAAAAGACACATTTCATATATTTTAAACATCATTCTCATAATACAGAAACACTGATATATTAAATCGATGATATGCTACTAGAGAAGAATACTAAGTTCAAGTTTTTGGGAGTACTTATAGATGAAACTTTGACTTGGAATGATCATTTACATCACGTTACAATGTGCATTTCCAAAAGTATTGGAATATTCTCCAAGCTAAAGTTTCTTCTTCCATGCAATCGTATTCCTACTATATAATACGCTAGTTCTCCCGTATATAATATATTGTAATATTGTATGGACAAATTGTGGTTCGAAAAAAAAATTCTATTTTTAAACTGCAAAAGAAAGCCATACGTATGTGTACAGGTTCGCATTTCTTAGCTCACATTGATCCTTTATTCTATAAACTTGAAACAGTATTTTTTTTAAATTGATTTGAACACTATTCAGGTAACAGTCATTATGTTTAAGTACCTCAGTAATCAACTTCCACCATCCTTTGATAACATGTTTAGGTTTGATAGTTCTGTTTTTCGTACCCTACTCGCATTTCTGGAAACTTCCATCTTACAAGTCCCAATTTATCAATAACACACAAATCTGTTAGACATTCTGGTCCGGACATTTGGAATCATTTTCGCGACAACGTAAAGTCTTGTTCAACCATCTACTCCTTAAAAGCTATACTTAAACGACAAATAATACAATCATACGCTCCCACTCTTTAAATTAGTATGATAAAACGGTGACTCATTTTATTCTTTATCATGCAACTGCTTTTTGCACCTGCACTTGAACTGCACCCACTTGATCACTCAGTTGTCTCAAGAGAGTTATGTCTCCAATTCTTTATTTTTATGAGGACGCCATCCATCTCAAGCCTAACCGCTGACGTTGGTGGTCTCATGCGTTCTAAACTACCTCTCTAATTTCTTGAAAAATATTTACTATATATTTCATACCTTATTTGTATGCTTCGTACATGTTATTAGTATGATATGATTGTACATGGTTTTCTATCTAATTACTTGTGTAAACATTTTATTCATTGTATTTGTCATTGTTCGAATTTGTGTACATTGAATTTGAATTTGTATCTTTTTGAACGCATAAACGAAATCAATCAAACAAACAAACATGCACAAGGTGCATGAGGTAATTGTCTCAAAAAGCACGTGAAAGCTAATTGATTTACTGTTATCAAAGGGGTATTAAATGCAAAAACAGATGCAGATTAATACCAAATATATTAGCAGTTGCCTTTCATAAAAACCAAGATAGCATCCCAAGTAAACTTTGTCCATTGTCATTAGGGACTTTTAGATTGAGCGGCGTGAACGTCCACTGATCATGCGTGTCCAAGGCAAGCCGTTTTAACATTTATTCCTATTTCTTGATATCAAGCATTGGTTGCCTGATATCAGGAAATGATTTTCTGTTGTAAAGCAATGGTATTTATTAGTAACGTATCATGAAACAGGATATTGGTTATTCCTCATTGATTGTCACAAAGGTAACAACTTTAAATTTTGAATCTTTTAAAGTTTGGTATACTTTATTGTATACGCACTGTAGGAGCATCGACAGTAGGGAAATAAAACGTTTGTTTTATGTTGTCCATTACAGAAGAAGTGAATACCGGTAAGATTGTAAAGGA